ATATATATATATATATATATATATATATATTATTTCAAGAATTTTCTTGCACTTTAAGCATTCAGAAGTAATTGTATATCTTCGAATTAATATGCCAGGTTGTTCTTAACCTTGTTACTACTTAATATTGATTGATTGATTTTTTTACCTCTAGTTACTGTTGTTAGTTTTTATGATATTTTGTTGTCCTGAATCAAAAGAAGGTATTTTTGAACCGGCATTTAAATGTTTACCTATGGGATTTTTCTAGGCAAAAAGAAAGTTGGTTCAAATGTCAATCATATGGTAAAATTTTATCAGAACTTAAAATTGATTGCTTGCTTGTTTTGACGTTTCTAGCTCAGTCATTCCGCTTGTTTTTCCTTGATAGCCTTGCATTTACTTATTTATTTCTCAACTTTTGAAATTGTTTTTTATCTATTTTTCTCTCCAATAAAGGATTTTAGTTAATTTCAAAGCGGAAAAGTGGAATTTTGTTTATTTTTTATTTTTATTCTTACTATAAGAGATTGAAAAGAAGGATCAAATGCCGAATAATCATTGACGAATATCGTTTTAATTCTCCAGTCAGATGAATGTTGTTGTTGTTGTTGTTGAAAAATTATGTTGTCGAAGCAGTAGGAGCTTTTGTTCGTTGTTGTTGTTTTGTTGTTGTTGTTGTTGGCGATGCCGTAGCTAATGCCTAAGCGCACGTAGAACCTTGGTGAAGTTATTGAATTGAACTTAATGCTTTCAGCTGTACTCTTCATTGCAAGTTTATGAGAAGTAATCAGCATGTATGTCGGCTTGTTGAACTTTAAATATTTTTGTCGTTTAAATGCTTGAAACTGCTGCTAATAGTGACAGATTGATTCCCCTGAATGTTGGTGATGTTTCATGTCTTTCTGGTTCCTTGATTTTGCACTTTTTTTACTTTTTTTTTTCAGCTGGATTTTTATATCATTTATTTTTACGGCGTAACCAAAATAGGTTGTAATCGTGATTACAAAGGTTATCTAGAAGGTGAATTTACTGCGAAGGTTTTAATTGTCTTCACCTTAGCCAAGTTTAAATTTTTTGGTTAGTTCTTTCTTTTGAACTTTGTTATATTTTTGCATTTTAGTGAACGACAGGAAGCAATGTATTTTAACCGTTCGCGCCGTGAAGAGGTTTATGTATTAGGTAAGTTTTTCGGTGCGTAGGATCAAAATTAAGTTGTTGGCTGCAACACAGTTGTTTCTTTCAATTCAACATTCTGGGTTGGCGACGGTTGGCCTTCAACAGTTTGCTTCAAGTTTTTTCGTCTGCTTTTTGCACAGTTAAAGTATTGGCAGTTTTTGCAATTTTTGATATGTTCGTGGACAGCAGTCGGGAGTTTAATTTGTATTATGTGGGTCACCTGGGAGTCTATTGACGTCAGTTCTGCAAGGTAATGTAAGCCACAGGAGTTTGTCTGTTGATAGGGGGGAGAGGGCGGAGGAGAAATGTAAAGCGCTTAAGAGATATAACTAGTCTTCGATTGGTTTAGGTATGTTTTTTCTGGAAATGAATCGACTTACCGAAATAATTTAGGAGTGGAAAATTTTTGTTTTGGTTGAAGTAATATTTTTTTTATTTTTTTTCACTTCAAAAAAGTATGAATTTGTTCGCCAGACATGCGAATTTTTTTGAGACTTGAGAAGGACGTAGGGAAGTTGGGAGCATTTTGCTGAAAGTTTATAAATATCACCCGACTTTGCGCTCGTTTAGTGCTTCATTGGTTTTGGGAGACCAAGATGAGGTCTTTTTTCTTTTGAAACATTGAATTTTTTTTGGTTCTATCTCCAAGGACGATGGGTTTACTTCTCAACAGATTTTCAGTGGACGGCAACCTGTGTTTGTTGGTGCTTGCTGTGTTCTTTTTATTTTTCAACTTCAGTTTTTAGGAACTTTCTTTGCACCTTTTCTGTGTCGTTTGCATATTTCGCTTTGCTCATTTGTTGTTACTTTTTAAAAAGTATTTTTGTTTTTAGATTCTTGCTTTTATCTTGTTCTATTTTACTTTTGGTCTTTTGACCGTAAAACTTTACGGTCTACGTGTTGTTATATACATATATGCACGTGGTTACTTATATAAAGTCTTATCTATTAGCAGTTGTAATGTAATCATATTTGTGTCGTTTTTTGTTCAGGTGTGTTTATTGGATATGTGCAGCAATTAAAGCGCCATTTTATTCGCATTTGTGTGTTTTTGCGTTTCAGAAACTAATTGAACTTCCGTCAGCAGTAATTTTGATTTTTTCTTTTCCAGCTGGCTTGTGACAATTATGTTTGAATACGATCGCATAACTTTGAATGTAGCTGAACACATAAGCCAAAGTCGATTAACAACAGCAGAAAGCTCTCCAAGACAAATTTTCGATTCTATGGTTCGTTCTGCAACCTTTCTTATTGAATGTTGTTTAATCTTTATGTTTCATTTTTGAAAAGATGACAAGCCAGCCGATTCAGCAAATGAAAAGCTAAATTTTTATTAGTTTTTAAAAGTTATGTTCTCTTTCATGTATTTTTTCAGAGGCGATACAGTGGGAGCAGTTTTTCACCGTCTGGCTCTGACGGATTCGACTGCGGCGCAAGCTCTGGTTATGGTAGCCCAGGTTGGGGTAATACACCGTTGTCAAGTCCAGCACCACAAACGCTTCTTCCATTGAATGTGCAAAAAGCCCTGAACGACCATGGCTTTTTCGATGAAAATGAAAACAACAACGTTTCTCTTGGTCCAACAATAATAGACGAAACATACGCTCAAAAACCGAAGGTTAAAAATTTCCTTTTTGAATTCAGTCGTGATGTAGTTCTAATGATGTATGTTTTTAGTACGGATATTGGTAAAATTTAAAAATAAAAAAAGAATCAAAACTGTTGAAATTTATTTCTTTATTTTATTTTGGTGTAATATTTGGACTATTTTGGTGGTGAAATTTTCGTCTTTTGCAGGAGAATGATGAAAATATGCCATCCCATGCTGCTTATGCGGACGGTTTCTCTAACGATGAAATCGCCCAGTTCACGCAGTTGTTATGCTCACCGAAGAAGGCTCCGCCCTCAAAATACCAGTGTCATATTTGTTATCGAAGTGGTCATTATATTTCGGATTGTCCAATGGTAAATGGTCTTAAGATTTTAAGTGCTGGTTTATATGGTATTATTAAGGAGCGATGATGAGTACTTAATCGAGCCATGTACGAATAAGTGTATCATAGGAACTTTTTTTTTTTAGCGTTTCAACAGTCCGTATGAAGAGCTGACGCCTTATCAAGGGCGGAAAAAGTGTTACGGCGAATTTCAATGTCAACAGTGCAAGAGAAAGTGGACAAGCCAAAATTCGGTTGCAAATGAGGCACAGAGCTGTATCAAGTGCCATATTCCTGTGTTTCCTCACAAGCAAGTATGTTGTTTATTTCAGTTTTAAGATTTTTCTTTTGAATTTGTGATTGTTTCGGGTTGCGTAGTTATTTGGTAATGAGGGTCGTTTCCCAGTTTTGGTATTTGTGATTTTCAATGCAAAATAGCGGCAAATTTTCAGCTGCCAGTTGATAAAGCTGTTGCTATGGGCTTGGTGAAAGCGCAACGTGTTGTGCCATCAAAGATTGCTCCAATAGGGCACGGTCGTCCTCCATTCAACACAAATCGACAGTAGAAGAGGCTAGTTTTCAAAACTGATATGCTGCTGTGGTGATGATGACGATGCATGAGTGCTATCTTCTGATTGCCTTTTATATTATTTTACCTTTAATCATTCGTTTTCTCGAGTGAAAGAACAGTTTTTTTTTTATATCTTAATGAATTACTTTGATGTTATCTTGTTTGCAGTTTATGTTCAAGCGAAGACTGAACATATCAAAACTTTGCATTGAATACTATTTCTTCCGATATCTTTTTAGTTGAATTAGCCAAGGCTTCTGTTAGAGGCTTAAAATTTAAAATATGTTTTATATCCGTAGGTACAATTTTTAAAGCTAATTGATTTCAGGAAGGAACCGCGGCAACATCGAAGAAGTCTCGGCGGTGGTACTTTATAATGCTCCATCTTATTTTGCATCTCTTGGCTTCTCAATCAAGTTCCTAATCTCCTGAAGCTTCTACTATTTTATTTTTCCATCTATTTCTGATATTTTTATTAAGTGTGAAAAAGTTGTTGTAATTACTGTGTTATACAAATGTGTTGCATCTTCAGTAGCTTTTCATTTTTTTCCTTTGCTTTGTTGAAGTAGTAATCGTCATTTTTGAGTCATATGAGAGGAAAAGGTTTTCACTGAATCCTTTGTTAACGAAGAACTTTATGGTTTGCCAATGTTTCGAGGTTGATTCTGAGCCATTTTTGATTTTTTTTTTTTTTCTTGAGAGAATGGCTTTTTTTGCTGATACTTAAAATAGTTTGCTTTTGTTCAAAAAGCTCGCTGGTTCAGTATATACGGTTTAGCGTTTTTTAGAAGGACTTTTTTTTCGTTTTTGTACTTCTTTGATCTAGAACAGTTTCTGTATTCTATTGAAGTGGAAAGAGAATTAGATTATTATTATTTTTATTATTATTATTATTATTATTATTATTATTATTATTATATTAATATGTTTTTACTTTTATTACTACTACATGTTCATGTTTTTTGTCTTATTGTACAGATGTAGCGTTGAAAGTTTGTCAGACTGAGTCTCAATTCAATCTTCGACAATCGTTTAGTCTATGGAAACATACATTTTTTTTTCAGTCTTTAAATTAGTTGATGGGTAGCTTCCATTTTTTTATTTGTTTTTTTATTTTTTTTAGCTATATATGTTGAGAAGAAAACATAGAAGACGGATTTTTGGAGCGCGGATTGTCGAGAAATTATTTATTTTCGTTAATTTTTGTTTCTTGTAACGGCTAATTTCTTAAGGAAACTGTAGGTCGTCGGGATATGTATCTGTAAAGTAGCATTGTTTCTTTTTTTTTTTTTTTTTTTTTTTTTTTTTTTT